ATTGCTGCGAAAGGGGAACTACCAAGCTTCTGAAAATGTTTCCATTTCAGATTGGTGCCGTCTGGAGCTATAGACCTTATGGACAAGATGCTACTTCTCGATCCAAAACGGCGAATTTCTGCAAAAGATGCTATTAGTCATTTTTGGATTAAGAACTTTGATTATTCTACAGTTCCTCCATTGAGGCTGCCCCAACATCAGGTTTGCTTATCGCATTTTTTCTTTGTGTCTTGCTAACTAGTTGTTTTTGAACAAGTGTATCGCTGTCAAAGAAACAAGCGCGACCTAGATACTGTGTGAAATGCTGAACTGTGAGTATCGATCGGCACCGATCGATGCTCTCCAGGTTAACATGAAACTCTGTACAGGGAACAGCATTGTGATGTGTGAGTTGGTGGTGTAGGTACGACCGACTACCCCCCCCCCTCCGAGAGAGGGTTTTAGAGTACGACCCCCACCCCTCCCTTTATTGAGGGTTTCGGTACGACCCTTCTTCCCTTCCCCAACACCTACCTACCCTACAAATTTCCCTCATTTTCCAGTTTTTTCACAAAAATTTTCCGTCGAGCAGGGAGGGGGTGGGGGATTCTCTCGAAGGCACATACGACCCTCTCTCTCCCAACCAAATACGACACCCCCCTCCCCACAGACCAGGTACGACGACCCCCCCCCTACGGGTTTCACACAACGATGCGGTGCCCTAACTCTGTAGCAGCGAGTTTTCTTTAGGAAATCCATCCAAATTCAAATTTGCTTTGACACTTGCGGTTTATTCGTTATATCCTCACGGGCCAATACTGCGTATAATACGATAGCTATTTCAGTATCTCAAAGGAGTGCTGCTTCATATAGTAAATTTTAGGATTGCCATGAATTATGGAGTAAGAAACAACGGAAGGAACGGCGTTCCATTAATCCTCGAACCCAGCAGTTTGAAGGCCAGGAGTCAGAATTATCGGCGTGCCCTCCTGCACCTACCGCAACTTTGCAGTATGATAGGCGGCGAAACTCTCCATCTTCTAATGGCTATGTGAATCCGTCCTCCATTAATCCTAGCCGGACGGAAGGTCATCCATTCTCATATTTGCCGTTACTTTTCATTTAATAAATCACTATACTTGTTTACCTTCAATTTAGCCGTTGAGCAAGCTATAGCGGCTGTATTGCAAACGTCCGACACTACACAGCTGATCAGACTACTTCAATATACCAGCGAAGCCGATGATGCTGCTATTCTCAGCAGGCTTTCGGTATCGAGGTTATCGCGTATAACCTTTACTGTTCTAATAAAGAGTTTTTCTCTCATGTTCTTCCGATGCTGCTGAACAAAAGCTCCTTCAATGGTCTCGTGTATTGGAAATATAGTGTTTTAGCAGTTCTCGCTCAGCTCTCCTCTCGTACCTGGGTCATTCGCGAATCCACGAACAAGGGAAAGAATTGCTCGATGTCCTGTCGAATAGAGCTCATCTTGGTGGGTCTAGTTCTGTTGATTTTTCAGTACCCTATTTTCTGAGGTATTAGATAGAACATCGCCTAGTACGCCGCATTTGCTGCAAAAAATGCTTTATTGGTTTCACTCCGGTAACTTTTCAGTGGTTAGCCAACATTTGGGTTTGCATTGTTAACTTATTGGTGGTTCTACAAGTTTTTAGTTTCTTGTCATTGAATTATCAATAGTTTTACTAAAGTTAAATTAGTGCTGCTAATGAATTTCGGCGAACAAAACGACAACGATGCTGAGTAAAAAAAGGTGTTTGAAAACCAGTCAGAAGATTAGACTATACAAGAAATACAACTGCGGCGCAATACGGTGCAGTTTGTCGACGGGGGGCATTCTGCTTTCCATAGATGTGCCGACCCATCTAGGTAGCCGTTTCTCGAGTTGACACGTTTTAGGATAGTGGCTAGACGATCTTAGTTCAGCTTCACAAGAGTTCACAAGTTTTACCAGAGAGATTTGTAAACCGGAACTAGGGAAGCAATGATACGAACCCCCCCCCCGGTCGACAAATAGCGCCCAAAAATACAGCTGCTGTTTTGTATAATGCTGCGTTCATACTC